CCCCCCCGCGTTGGAATTTCGAAAAATCCTTTCTTAGTGTGCGTTTCCATGACGTACCCTAACTGTGTACCAAATTTCACCTCTTTAGGTTAAGCGGTTTGCTCTGGGCGATGATGAATCAGTGAATGAATGAATGAGTCAGTCAGGACAAGCAATTTTATATATTTAGATAAATAGATGATTTTAAATTTCAATTATGAAATTAAACGTGTGAATTCAGAAAAGACTTTGGCTAAATTTGCTTATTTATGTTTATTAGTACAAAATTACTGCACGTGTTTCTAAAGTAAAGGGGCAGTTTTCAGTACAGAAGAATAGCATTTATTATGAAAAAGGAAATAAAACAGGTAATATTTTGTAGTTATCCTAAGGTTAAAATGTCAGATTAATTTTTGAATTTAATTATGTTTATCAAGCAAAACTTGCCTAAAACGGTAGGATATACAAGTTCATGGAGAAATTTCCGCAAATTTTAAAACTTATTAAGCAAACACTATAAAAGTATTGAAATAATGGGCACTATCTTATGTAAGACGTCTCATGTTAGAAAGGTTCTAAAGTTAGATTTTATCTTATTATGTTTCGATATGTGCTGTATTTATACACTGGCAGACATATAAAAGGTATTTGATTTTGTTCCATATCTTCTTAATGATACCTAAAATTACATTTGCGTTCCAATACAATCGGTGATCGAAATTTCATTCCACATATGCACACAGAACGTTCTTAACGTATCCCCATAAAAAGTCCACGGAAAGTAAAATGTTGGATCTGGGATATTCGGAAATAGTTCCACGCCTTCCAATTCAGCAATTAAGAACTCGCCTTTAAAATATTTTATTTTCGTTGTGCAGCTCACACCGCCGGCACTCGCGGAATGTCACTACCTGACACCCGCGGAAATACAAAGGTCGGCCAATATGTAACGCAGAATCGCCTATAATTTATCGGTTTTCAAAGGCTTAATCACGAAAGTTAGTGGGTAGCAACATTAGACCTTTGACTTCATAGAACTGTCACTCAATTTAAGATCCAGTGATTTCACTACATGAATTCAAGGTTGATTCTATGACACGAACTCACGTTGGTAAACTCAGGAGGTTGGTATTCACACCACTTCCTCACACATGCAATGAGTTCTGTGGCACTCAGAAATACTGCCCTACGTAGACGTGCCTACAGACGACCAAATACAAAAATCTGATTGATCTAACGATGATTCTGTTACATGCGTCTAGCCCTATGCGTCACTTTATGCACTCTCATCTCTGTATAGGGGGGTCTACTGTATTCATTTCATGCTCCATATAAAATTATAATTTTATCTTATATAATGACAAATAATCGTATAGTAATTTACAACTCTCAAATTTAAGTATTTTCTACTGTCATTATTTCAATTTCGTAATGCGATTTTTGTATGAAACGTTTAAATAGATTTTAATGCTGTTAAAATAATTAACCTCACAATACAACATATAAAAGTAGAACGGTTTATAAAGAATTATCCGTAATTCGATCATATTTCCATGCATTTCAGCAACTTTTACAAGAAAATTAGCATTTTGTAACAATGTACAAAGCATAGTAATATTCGTTTATTAAACATGAATAAATTATAATAAAGTTTTGTAAGGTACGTGTTTTGTCGCGAAGCGGTTCATCGAACGGCAGAATCGTATCCTGATAAGTTATTTTGATGAGTAAAGACAAAATTTTAGATAACGTAAAAATGACAAAATTACATTATTAGACTTACAGTACCTAATTTATCTACTGTACAGACCATAGTAAACTCAACTTTCCCGCCTAAACTCTGCGTATATATTCGTGGCGCTGGACGGCGGCTTGTCCACTATTGGTTTAGAATCGACCAATCCTGTCGCAACACGACAATTTGTCTCATTTTTTACTATCTTAAACGAGTCTCTTGTAATGTGTTATACAAACACCATCGCAATTATTTCGATGTGTTATACAAATCCGTGTTATATCCGTGTTATAGGGGGTCTATAGTACAATAATTATAATTATTACATTTAAATGGCATAAATGTAATAAAAACTAATAGACGTAGAGGAATTTCTTGAATTTCGATTGGTAAATTGAGTAAATATTGAAAGTTCTCGCTATATTTGGTATATGATACATCTGTATAACATATAATTTTATTCGTGTTCCTCTCCAGGCTAAAGTGATCGCGCTACAAGCATTATCACAATATTTAATTGCATCTAAACGCAAGGACATATCTCTAACGTGTAATATTGCGACAAGTGATAAAGAATTGGTGAAAACAGTGAAAATTAACAATGAAAATGCCTTTGTCCTTCAACAATTAGAGGTAAGCAAAATATTTGTATAAATTTTAATAAATCGATATAGGCCTATTTTTGAAAAGCTTCGTCCATGTTTAATGTCTTCTTCTATATCAATTGGACCCGTAGTTTATAATTTTCTCTATTTTCAGCGGTCTTAAGAATTTTAAGACAAGAAAACACAACGGCGATTTGCTGACATGGCAAATCGCCGGTGTGAAATTTAACCCCTATTTTATTTATGCACACATTATGTAAACCCGGCAAGCTCCATATGATCATCCCTATGGTGTGAAAATGACAAACACGAGTGTTCAGTGGTTTTAGCCATCCGGCCATTAGCTACTATCATAGGGAAAATTGCTTAGTGTCTGTGACATATGTACCGCTTTTGGTTTTCCGGTGAAGTATTATTTAATGCTGTTTTCTTAAGTTATGTTTGTGGTTATAGCTTCCATTTTCACTTGTATTCAATTGTTCTTTCATTTAATTCAAATATTTTCGATTATTCTCTCAACATATCAAGAAGCAGTCTATTAATTGCACAGTTTTGGAGCCAATTTTGACTCTTTTTGTTTACATACTGTGCTTTTTACGACCTCTTTCTTATGGAAGTCACAAAATGTACCTACAAATTATAAAGTAGGTATATTTTCAATAATAAAAAATTTAAAAAGTTTTTTGTACAGGTAAAGAAACTAAATGGAATCTTATATGTCAACGTGAGTGGAAAAGGAGTTGGATCATTATCAGTAAAATTAAGATATAATGTAGCAAATGTTGGATATCAAATATGCAATGTAAGCATTTTTAACGCAAATTTATTATGATATAAATAGATGATTTTAAATTTCAATTATGAAATTAAACGTGTGAATTCAGAAAAGACTTTGGCTAAATTTGCTTATTTATGTTTATTAGTACAAAATTACTGTACGTGTTTCTAAAGTAAAGGGGCAGTTTTCAGTACAGAAGAATAGCATTTATTATGAAAAAGGAAATAAAACAGGTAATATTTTGTAGTTATCCTAAGGTTAAAATGTCAGATTAATTTTTGAATTTAATTATGTTTATCAAGCAAAACTTGCCTAAAACGGTAGGATATACAAGTTCATGGAGAAATTTCCGCAAATTTTAAAACTTATTAAGCAAACACTATAAAAGTATTGAAATAATGGGCACTATCTTATGTAAGACGTCTCATGTTAGAAAGGTTCTAAAGTTAGATTTTATCTTATTATGTTTCGATATGTGCTGTATTTATACACTGGCAGACATATAAAAGGTATTTGATTTTGTTCCATATCTTCTTAATGATACCTAAAATTACATTTGCGTTCCAATACAATCGGTGATCGAAATTTCATTCCACATATGCACACAGAACGTTCTTAACGTATCCCCATAAAAAGTCCACGGAAAGTAAAATGTTGGATCTGGGATATTCGGAAATAGTTCCACGCCTTCCAATTCAGCAATTAAGAACTCGCCTTTAAAATATTTTATTTTCGTTGTGCAGCTCACACCGCCGGCACTCGCGGAATGTCACTACCTGACACCCGCGGAAATACAAAGGTCGGCCAATATGTAACGCAGAATCGCCTATAATTTATCGGTTTTCAAAGGCTTAATCACGAAAGTTAGTGGGTAGCAACATTAGACCTTTGACTTCATAGAACTGTCACTCAATTTAAGATCCAGTGATTTCACTACATGAATTCAAGGTTGATTCTATGACACGAACTCACGTTGGTAAACTCAGGAGGTTGGTATTCACACCACTTCCTCACACATGCAATGAGTTCTGTGGCACTCAGAAATACTGCCCTACGTAGACGTGCCTACAGACGACCAAATACAAAAATCTGATTGATCTAACGATGATTCTGTTACATGCGTCTAGCCCTATGCGTCACTTTATGCACTCTCATCTCTGCAGTGTACGGTCTTCCGCTATAGTGATGCAGTTTCATGTTCTTTGATTACAGGTATGTTATCCTAGTTTTGAGAACACGCTTTAGCTCTTCGAATGATGAACGATAACTCTCTTTGTTAAAATGGTTGCTATCTCGAGATAGAGATAGAAAAACCTCTGTTACCTACCGGTGACGTAGTGAATTGTCTATTTCACCATCAATTACTCGTCATTTGCATAAAATAGAATCAATTGTTAATGTTTTCTTGGAAGCGAAGAGAATGTGGATTCTAAATACCGAATTTGATGCTTATAGCATTACAAATGGGAATGTTTTGTGCCATTCTGAATTACTTCTTGACCGACTTTTAAATGTTTTTTTTTGCATGCATTAGAACTTCTCACTATGTTGAATGGTTACTGAATTCTGATTTTTTAACATTTATAACATATATAAATTATTATAGTTACTGCATTAATTTATATAATTCTCCGTAGTGTATATTTGTCTAAAAATATGTTTATTTATATTTTTTTATATTTTTCAATTACAAATGATTCGAATACAAACAAGATCCAGAAGTATACAGATCTGAATGCTTCAACAGTAATTTTCACAGTAAACTTACGCTCAAAGTTGTAATATGTAGCAAGTAAGTATAAGAATCTGTATAATTTATTTTATATAATGGAATACTTGTAGATCATGTATAATTACAAGATTTATGAATGTATTTACTTATACATTCCAGTAATCTACCACAGATGTTGCCTATTTCAGATAGCTTGTAACCGCACACATTAATATCTATGCAAATTGAACATGCTTTTTCAATTTAGTATACCTACGATGCGAATATAAAGGTCAGCCATTCCTAGAATTTTCAAATCAACTTCTTTTTTTTACCGTTATACAGTAATCATAATGTCTCCAATCGTTGGCAAATATACTGTTTAAGGCAGGCGGAAAATAAGTTTACAGACAAAAATCTTCGAAAATCCACCAATAAAAGAAATATAATGCTGCATAAGACAAAACTCATACCAGAAACAGTGAAGTTAACAAAGAATACATATAACTTCATAGAACAGTTTATCCATTTAAACCAGTTATTTCCAAACTATTTGGAGCCTCCGTCCTCTACGTTACATAAGTTTGAATCCAATGCACTCCAACCGTACCTTAGCACTCTAACTCAATGTTTCTTTTCTAAGAAATACTCGCAGATATTCTTAGGAAAACATTTATATGTACGATATCTCACACTTTGTGCCTTCACCGTACAACGTTTTCCACAGCTGGAAACCATTAAACGTAACGTTTCTTCTTATCCGTTTTAAACGAAAAAAAGGGAAAGATCGTCAGTGACCCAAACTCTCGGCTATGGTGATTGTTCAGTATCTTGACTCCAGAGACCTTGCTGTCCACTTGCTTAGTTTTGCCCCCTAAATTTACTTACCACCAACTTTGGTAACCAATGCATTAAGCATACAGCATATCAATAGAAACATTTATCAATTACAGTCTGATCTTGACATTATTTAGTAACTGTCCAGGACAATCCATAAATAATTTTATTCCTTGAAACAACAGTTCTTGCGGTTAACTAATCTGTGACTAACTAATGTGATGTGTAAATGGCAAACCCGTTATGAAAGTGCAACACATAAATGTTAACATGAAAATACAGCAGAGTTATGTTTGATGCGTTTCGTGCCAGTTAAAAAATAGGTTAATTTTTGTTGAATAAAAAGGTGTAAAATGATTACTTATTCTATAATTTCGTTGTATATTAAATTTAAACGCATAAAAGTTAGATGGATTTTCCTTTAGGCCAGCGATTCCCAACCTGTGGTACGCGTACCCCTAGGGGTACGCGATAGGTTGCTCAGGGGTACAGAAAAAAGTTAGTAATTATGGCAGAAAAAATAATATATTATGTACAAACTAACAGCATATACAAACTAACAGTATTAAAAAATTATTACGTAAAATATCTCCTTGCAACAATCACAACTTTATTATACATTTTTTCATTTAGGTTTTTTTCTTTAATTTAAAGTTACAATATGTAAAATTAACAATACGGGTACTCACTAAATTTCTTAAATGAGGGTACAATCTAGAGATATGACATGTCATGGGGTACGCTAATGAAAAAAGGTTGAGAACCACTGCTCTAGGCTATCACTTTTACCAAAACTTATCAATATTAAACGATAATAGAAGCTTGCAGATAGAAAAGTTGTGTGTAGAAATATACGAAAAGTGTAAAACTAAAACTAAAATTCGCTACTGTAATAAAACCAGCACTAACTTATCTAATGCATTAACATGTTTCTGTAAATTGTAGCATAACTGACAAGGCAACATCTGGAATTACTTACAAGGCATAAATTGCGAAAAAATTTCGTTTTACAGTACATTTACTGACACCTACACAAACCAAAAGTGTACCGAAAAAATTAATCATCGTTTTTTTTTGTATTTACTTTACAATTCTTACACTTCGTACAGCCATAAGTGTCTAATTATAGGAATTTTTAACTAAAGATTATTTAGGAAATTTTTTCGGTACCAAGATTAGCATACTTATGAAATTCGGCGACATTTTACTTGTTTCTAAGAGACACAGAGAAAACTTACAATAAGAAATATATTATTAATGCTACATATTATAAAAAGTCTGCGTTATTAATTTTAAACATTCAGAATTATTTAATAACCATAACTTCAATTGAAACTTTATTTTTTGTAGATATCTCTCCAGTGAAGATTCAACCATGACTATTATTCATGCTGGAATATTCAGCGGATTCACTCCAGTTAAAGAAGATTTAGATAGAGTGAGTAAAGTAGACATTCTTTAGGTTTACTAAAATGTTCTATTATATTCTGGCCATCTTTGTATCGTAACTAAATGTAATTTCCAAATTTTTATCTTAATTTACGACTGCCATAAGTATATGTCATAAATTATTAGAAACGTAGAACAAAGGAAAATGAAAGATAAGTGATGCTTGCTGCGGTTCGTGTGTCATTTTCCATGTGCATTGGAGATTTAGTGTAGCCCAAAATCGGAACTACTATACACGAAAACTTATTCAAACTCACTTGGTTTAATCCATCTAGAAAATTTTATCTGACTAGGAATTATAATCATATCCGAGATCGTACAATCACCCATCAGCTATATGGCAGTTTATTCACTAATAATTATCGTATATGCTGTAAATATTAGCGAGGTTGCAGCCGAAATTTTTATCTCTCAAACGTCAACGTCGAACGTCGAGCGCCGCTATCTTGTAAGCAGCGCTCGACGTCTGACGTTGACGTTTTACAGAAGAAAACTTCGACCGCAACCTCTCTATTGAATATATATACGCCGTGCCAATTTTAAGAATTTTTGTAAAGAGCAGTATTCTGACATTCATTTACTAAATTATGAAATACAGATAATATATTTTAGATTAGAACTAAGAACAGGCTTCTTTCGTATTTGAGAATTACTTAACCGTGCATTGAACTATACAATGATTGTACAATGTAGAAAGTATTGTCAATGTGATACTACAACAAACTATATGTGTAATAATACAAATTTTATTAATAAATTAATACGTATATATGCATCATAATTACACGTAGCACATAGTGCTACAAATTGACTTATAATTTGATAGTAAAAGTGTTGAATTTTTTAAAGTAATAATGTACATTTACATTTATTTCAGATAGTCAATGATTACAAAAATCCCGTTGATAGATACGAAATAGAAGACAGAAATGTAATATTCTATTTAGAGCATGTATGTATGGATCTATGAAGAAATATTTTAGCTTTTGTGTTTTTGAATTAAAATATGCGTTGATATCGTTATACTTTTATAAATAGTATAATTCTATGTGAAAATATTAAATTGAAAAAATGCAATATTACAGGTTTCACATAAATCTCCTGTTTGTATTAACTTCCGTGTAAGAAGAGATTATATTGTTGGAAATGTGCAGTCCAGTGTTGTAAAAGTATTCGATTATTATAAGAATAGTAAGTGATTTGGTTTTCGTATTAACCAGCTTTTGTTTT